CGGCCTGCGTAGGGGGGGTCGCGGTGGAGGTCCCGCGGCAGCCCCAGCCCCCCACGGCCTCGCCGAGGCGGGGTTTTTCCCCTACGGCATGGCCCGCGAGGGAGACGCGGCGGCTGGGGTACTGCCCGATTCGCGTGGACCTGCTCGAGGGCGACGCGCGCCGCCTGATGACGCTGCGCGTGCGGGACGGGGGGGCGGAGGTCGGCCAGGCCGTCGTCTCCCTCCGCGCGCTGCTGACGCCGCAGGTGTATGACCTTTTCGAGCCCGTCACCGTCCCGCTGGTTCGCGTCAAGCTGGAGTCGAACAGCACGCACTCCACCCCGATCGGCAGCCTGACTTTCTCCATCGCGCCCTCGGCCTACGAGCGCTACGCGCCGCCGGTCTGCTTCCCGGGCGCCGTCGTCCAGGACTTTAGCCGGCCCTACGTGCGCTACTACGAAAAGCGCATCGCAAATTTTATGCGGCACTACAACGTCGGGGAGTTGGGGAGGCTGCATGCGTATTTGTACGATACTTACGTCGCCAACGGGACCTGGCGGAACGGCCTGCCGGAGTACCTGGCGCAGCTCGTGGAGAAGTGGGGGGAGGAGGTGATCCCGCACGATGCCGTGCCCCCGATCGACTCGATTAGCGTCGGTGGGACGCTTTAGATAAATTCGTCTATCACGAACTTCTCATTCGTCCAGGCAAACCGGGTGCATTTTACAGGAAACGACAGAGTTAGGGTGGGGTCGAACTGCGGATGGGAAGGAACATTCTGGGGCTCCTCGATACACCATCCCTAATATCTATCTATCTATATTCTACTAAGTAAATTCCGTTTGATCTCTTAGAGGCGAAAGGTAGTTTATGACGATGAAGTTTCTATACATCCATTTTTCTAAATAGAAATGGCTTGAGTTGTGGATTATCACATTTTGTATCTGAAATGGAGTATCGGATATAAAAGGGGTTTGCGTTTTAAATCATTCAAACTTATGTCTGGTCTGTATAGTGGCTTTTTCAAGACAGTTTTTTACAATTTTTCTTTTTCAAACAAAAGTATGAGTTTTATTTTCAACAGAAGATAAAGTAAATATTGCACATGGATACGAGGAGGTTCGGGTGAATGATTTCGTACAACCGGAGTTTATTAATGAAATCTCATTATTTGCTCACAACTACCCGAGACCATAATGGGGTGATAGTGGGAGGAAGACACTTATTTTTCAATCTTGATAGTTTAATTATTCGTTGTAGAAGTCTGGGAGGGATGCTCGGCATTCCTGGATTTAAACTTTTTTTGTGATTTTCGTAAAATTTATTTCTCCCATCCTCTATTTGAGGAGGGATAAAGGTGTTCAGTCCTTTACGGTTTCCTTTGAGGAACCTTCTACGATAATTTCATGATCTTTTGACGGCTATAGTAATCTTCCCGGTACCTCGTTATTCAACAAGCAGAGGATTCAATTGATTCTATGTAATTCAACTTATTCCCAAGGAAGATTATCACCATCATCTAGAAGCGCAGGCGTTACTTTCCCTGTATATACGCCTTGTTTAGTTTGGTAAACTGACAATATTCATTATTACGGGTTTCGGTCGGTCGATTTAATTACATGCAAACTTTCTGGATGTTTCGGTCCATGTGTCGCACAAGTGTACTTTTTTTTTTGTTAGTGTCTAATTTTCTTTTCTTATCCATTTTGCTACTGTTGGATTTTTATGTACTAGACGGAATACATTTTTTCGGTAAATAACTATATTATTAGTTAGACTACATATGTATATTTATATAACCAGCCTTACAATTTAGGATTTAGAATACTCAACAAGGCTGCGTAGCATTCAGCGCCTTTCGCTCTCGTTTAGACTTGTGGGGGCCGCTCTTCTGGAGCCTAGAACATGTCTCACAAGGTGCGCAGGAGCGCGAAAGGCGCCTTGCCAAACGGTACGCGCGCTCGATCGAACCGTTCCCGCAGTCTATCGCATGAGAGGCGGCCCTTTGTGAAATGGCATTCCCAATTTACCACTCGCCGAGGCACCAACGCGGATGTTTACACCCCTCCCCACTCGAGTGTGATGAAGAGGGGAAATGATCAGGAGACGACCATCGTCGATGAGGTCTCCGCCAACAGCCGCCCACGCTTTAGTTATCAGACCAACGATTTTAGTTCGATGCCTTCCCGTTCGCCGGAGTCGTGTCATCTTCACAGGGAGATTTTCGCAGGCAAGGATCTCGGGCACGGCGACGATCGCCGCGGGTTTCGCGCGATCTCGACCAGCCCTCACCGCCATCGTGATGTGAATTCCCCTCACAAGGCCTCCTATCATCGGATTCGATCTCGCGAACGGGTGAGAAGCCGCTCAAGCCCCTCAAACTCGCCGGATTTTCATCTAAGACGCTCCAGGGGAAGGTCATCAAGCCGCGATCCTTCGAGAAGCCTGGGAAAGGTACGATATCGACAACACCGAAGCGCCTCACGGGGTAAAAGCACTTCGGGGCGGGGTGTAAAACACGCCTCAAGTGCGCAACGGCCCGTTGTCCCGTGCAGTCGCGCGAGGCGATCGTGGAGTGTTTCGCCGCCCAAAGTCGCCACTTCGGAACCCTTTTCCCCTCGCCAAAGCAAACCCACGGGCGTGCATTTTAACGTTCACGTCGATCGCGTTCGGGGGGCCCTTCGCAATATTCCCGCGCCGCCCTCGAGATCATTACGGCTTTATGTGGTTCTCCGCACCAGCGAAAAGCGCGCGCGTACGGACGTGCTTAAGGTGCCGAATACCCATCTCGGCGACGACCTCCCGTTCAATTCCACGTTTCGCTTCCCGTCCTTCCACCCCGATCGCGATTTTCTTTCGCTGACTCTCATGGCAGCCTCGGCGAGTCCCGATTTGGGCCCTCGGATGATTGCGAAGTGCCGTCTTGCACTGCCCCCTCCCCCGGGCTGCCCTTTTCGCGAGGTCGAGGCCGTTTTAGTCCGCCACCCCGGCCGGCCCACGGCGTACGAGTCCGGGGCGGTCGATCTTCGCATTTCCTTTGACGGCCCCGGGCCTTTACCCTCCGCCTCCGCCTCTTCGCCCGTTTTTTCCCCCTCCGCGGGGGATTTTTCGCGCGAGCGGGCCGCCGTGCGGGATGTTCTCTGCCGCTACGCCCCCGATCGCCTCCATCGCCTGGACTTTTACGTCGGGGGGATTTTGAAAAGCGCCGGCGCGGGGGGGGAAGGCCCAACAAAAAAGGGACTTCGCGCGGCATTTGCGGAATGGCGGCGGGAACTTCTGGGGCGTTCGCGCCAAAAGGAGGCCACAGGGGGGGATTGGCGCCTGGTGGTGCGGGAGGTGAGGGGGTTGAGCAGGCCGGAGGGGGGGCCGTTGGGAATCGGCGGATGCCGCCTGGTGGTGCGTCCGCGCGGGGCCGCAGGGGTGGCAAAGTGCAGTAAAATGGTGCGTTATCACCGCCAGGCGGTCTTTAATTGGGCGTTTCAAGTTGATTTTGCACAGTCCCCGCACGAGGGGCTCACGATCGAGGTCTTTTCGGGCACCCAAAAGCTCTCCGAGCTGGAGGTGGGGCTTTTTAACCTTCAGGCGGGGGTCACGAAGGAGGTTAGCGGGGTTTTAGTATGCGTGGCGGGGAGTAAGCATGCGGCTCATGGTGGAGAGATTAGCTTTACGCTACGCGCAGAAAATTACACCTCGGCTCTCCTGTTAAGCTCTGGACAGGAAAGGCGGCTTCGGGAGCGGGTTTTAGGCTTTCTTTGGTGTTATAGACGCACGGAATTACATCGTCTGGAGGTAATTCTGGCAGAAATGAAGAATCCCGAGAAAGAAATGCGGGAGTGGGAGCGTATTTACGGTCCCGAGCCGCTGCCGAGCCATCTTTCGATGTGCTTATGTCACTGCCGAAATATTTTCCCCGCCGGGGTATCTGATTTAGCGGATTTTTCCGAAATTTTAGGGGGTCCAAGGAAACTTTATGCGTGGGTTTCCGCCGGCCCTACTACCACGCGAACGGAGTTTGCCTTGAGTTCAAATGGGTGTCTAAGCTTCATGACATCCTTGGATTTTACTTTATATTTTCCCGAACGCGAGGTAGTGAAGCTTTTGCTGATCGAGGAGATTGGGTTTTGTGATCGGGAGGTGAGTCGTGTGGAGTTTGGGTTGTCTGCCCTGTATAAAGGCGCTACCACACTGCGGTGTTTGCATCTTGTGGCTCACGCAAGGACGAGCGCCGCTTTTGTGAGGGGGGAGATCGATCTCGAATTAACTGCTCAAGATTTTGATATTCCAGCCGGAAAGGTCACCGATGGAGCGGCGGAGAGGTCTTTTTTCGATCGAATGGAGGCCGCCATCTGGCGAAGTGCCCCGGAGGATCTTCATCGAGTAGCATTGATCGTAGATCGCACGCCCGCTTACCGGCGCGAAGCGTTTTTATCGGAAATTTTAGCACTACCGACGATCAACCTCACCACAGCCCCGATGACGCTGCAGATTGTAGGGATGAAAGACTACCCCTTCCAGACCGATGACTACCTCAAAGTCTATCTGAACGACCGGTTAATCCTTCGCACGCGCACCTACCGGGGCACCCCGCACTTCCGCTTTGACGTTGATGACCCGAACGAGACGACGGTGCGGCTGAGTTGCGCCCGCGAGGCGGTGCTGCGCTTTGAAGTGAAGCGGCGCCACCGCCTCGGTGCCGATCCCACCCTCGCGCGGGGGGGCCTCGCCCTGGCGACGATGGGCCGCGGGAGGCCCAACCCGGTCTGGCTACGCCTGTGGGACACGTCCTGTCCCGAACGGGCTGGAAGTCCCACGCCGTTGCAACAGCCCGGGCCCTGTCCCACAGGAAAGGCCTTTCCGTTACACGGGGAACGCCCCAGCACAACCCCGGGAGGGGCCGGGTTGGGCGGGTTCGCCGGCTATCTCGGGATGAGGGTGGAATCGGTCGCCTTTCCCGTTCCCACAGGGGAGGATTCGACGGCCTGCGCGATTGCGCACGACGTGGAGACTCTTTTGCGGAAGTTTTGCCCGCAGTGTCTGCCCCACGCGGCGGTCTTGATTTCGCGATGTTGGGATGCGTACGCGGCGCATTGGGAGCTGCGGGCTCGGCTTTTCCGTGGTGGGGTGGGCCTGACGGTGTTTTTGACAGTGGAGGGGGTGGAAGGGGTTGGGGGTGCGGGCGAGGAAGTCCTCGTTAATGTCGATATCGCAGGGGATAAACAGTGGACGCGGAGGGGCGGTGGGGACGACCCGAATTTGGTTGACGCGCATTCGCGCTGGGGTTATCCACCGATTCGACTGGATCTTCCCAATCCAGAGGCCTTGGAGGGGGTGGATATAGACACGCCAAGGAACCGTTTACGTTCTTTTCACGCGCCGCTGGAGCTGAGGCTTTTGCGTCTCCGGGATAAAAGGACCTCTTTGACGGGGATTCAGGATTTCCAGCATTCCAGAGCCGCTTTGCCTCGGCGGGACCCTTTTGGGGCCGCGTTTGACGCCACAAATGGAAGGGAATCCTCTCCCGTACCTCACCGTCCTTCTACCGCCACGCATTCGCAGTCAGGGAATAAAAACCATATTTCGACTTACTTAGACGATCCGATTTCGTTCCTGGTCGCCAGCGAGATTCGAGGCTGGCAGTCGGGAGCGACGGGATCTTCCCTTTCTTATCGCAAACCCAGAAACGATTCGCGCTCGTTAGCGAATTCCTATCACGCCTCTTTGAAGCCACTAGTCTCATCATCTGCCGAGGTGGATGAGATTGGTCTGGTAAAGTTATCACTGCGTGCGCTTCTTTCCCGTCCTCCTCAGCATCTTAACGACTCGGTGCGAGTTCCCGTGATTTCCTCTTCTTTTTCTTCTTCAAGGGCAAGTCCTTCTCGCTCGACAGCTTTGTCTTCTACCTATCATGAGAACTGTGTGGTGGGGTTTATTACCTTTCGTTTATCACTGCCTGCGTTTGAAGTTGTCCCGGCGTGGATAAAGCTCGATGGATGGAATATTCCTAACAATCATTATCATCGGACGGAGGGGGTGAATCTCGCACGAGCGTTTGATGACAAGCGTCATATTAGTGCTTACCTAAACAATCATTCTCCTACGGATTTGGTGGATTTCCACTACAAATTTTACGAGCACAAGGACAATCCCGTTCGTTCAAGGAGTTCTGTTAGTCACGTTTGATGAGAACCTATAAACGGCGGTAATATTATTTCCTTGGTCTACCATTTTTCGAGTTGAATAAATAAAAAAAATGTGCAAAAAGATGCTCCCTTTCTAAAAAGTGAAACCACATCATGATGCATTTTTTTGTCAGTTTTGGGGGGAAAATTTGAACTTGACAACATCTACTTTTGAGTGAAGCATTTCCCCTGATATGCTAAAAGTAGTATAAAGAAGAGAACCTGAAGATGGAATCGACCTCACAAATTAGTGCGATTTCTGTGTAAGCTTTTCACTCTTCGCGCATATCCCCTCCAAAAATGATACGGTAAAAAAATCTAATTAAAATAGAAGGTATGATGCCAAGCTAGGGAAGTGCTTGTACAGCTCTCCAATTTTGAAATCATAGTATTTATTTAATCTATCTTGGTGTGAAATTAGTTTTAGATTTAAAGAACTGTGAATTCACAATAGATGTCCTCTTAATAATGCCATAAGCATCTCTTTCTTTTAATCAATAGTTCCTAGGGTTGAGAAGGTATAACAGATAATCTTCTATACTCTTTATTATTGTAATTAGTATTAGAATATAAAATCATGTTAGATCTGGTTAAATTTTGTCTTTTAAATTTAGCATCCTTTTTAAATTAAAATATAGCCGATTTTCCTTGTGATGCCTATATTTTAGGGTAAATTGTTAACGGATACTGTAATTAAAAAGTCAAAATAGAAGGCATTGAATTAGAATAATGCAATATTTATATATTTCTAGGGAGAAAACGGATATATTTATCCTTCAGATAATAATAAGTTGCGATTCCATGATATATCGCCACGTTTCAAGTTTCTAGTCCAGGTTTATTATTATTGATATATTCCATCTAGAGTTCATTTTTGTGTAAATTTAAGCACTGTGGTTTTTCATTTTCCTCCAAAATATTAGAATAATGTTCTTAACGAAAAGTCCGATTTATGTATAGATCTAGCTTTGTTTGTCTTTTTTTTTTCTCTTTCTTCATTCATTCTAATGGGTATTTTATTTCTTTTCTGAAATCTAAAGTGTTTACCGATGAATACAAACAGTTTTCGTATTCTGCACTTATACCAGCATCACCGACATGGATGTTTATGTATTTATCACTGGGAGTCCATAATCATACAAGAAGGTTCCGAAAGTTTATGTTTATATTTTTTCTCTTTTTTTTTTGCATATCGTTTCCTTTCCCTTTTTTTCTTCCATGTTATTGACCAGTTCCGCATTCAACGAATTAACGTCTATTTTTTTAAGTGCGTGGACGGAAGGCCGCGTAACGCGTCGGATTCACAACAACATCCCTCCGAGACTCACTTTAGTCTGACCTACTTTATATGATTTTCCTATTTCCTCTGAAGCTCTTTGATCGGTTCCAGCGCCATCCTTCGTACCCTTTTTCTTTCTTATTTATTTATTGTGTGTGTGTTTGGTAGTAGTTTAGTGTATTAGCAATTAATTTACCCCTTTACGCGTTTCCCGCGTCTTTTATCGCCTTCGCAGCGGATGGCCGAGGTTGTGCCGGGGTCCCATTTCAGCCCCATCTCGCGCGTCCCCGGCTACGAGGGCGTTCGCACGGAGGATGCCATCGTCCACAGCCTCGCCGCGCGGCCCTACGAGGGGAGTCCCTCCCCCCGCCAGGCCCGACATCCGGCGCGGCCGGGGCCTTCGCGGCCGGGG